AGCTGCCGTGGCAAAACAAAACCCGACGCCATCAAGACGGTTCAAGGATGCTCTATTTGGGTCGGTGTCAAACTACGGGGACCCCTGAACAAGGGTGGCTTCCGTTTGGGCTTCCCTTTAAACCGGATGCCCTCTTTCGCCATCCAAACTGGTATGCGCGAGAACACCAAGTCAATCCAAATCCGAGCAAGGTTCACCCTTGCTTTCCTTGCAAGTGTGAGGCTCAATGGGGTTGTCTTTTTTTGGGGCATCCCCCAAACAAAAAATCCCCCCGGTTTCCCTTTAACTTCTTAAAGAAGGGGGTATCCCCCCCAAAAGATCCTCGTGGCTTCCCTTTAAATCCGTGAAAAAAAGGGCTACCGACTCCAACAAGACGAGCCCCCCAAAAAAAGCACCACAAAAAGAAGCCCCCTGAAACGCACCTCCCCCCCCCCAAAAAAAAAGTCGAAAAAGAGAACGAGCCACTCCCCAAAACACGTAGCTCCGCCCCATGAAACCCGTAGCTCCGCCGGAGCCTGGACGACCCGAGCCGGCGCGAGGAGTGGAAGTTGATGCCTGTGGCCGGGGTCCAAAGCAATTGCTTCGATCGATCAATGGGCGGGGGAAGGAGGTTTCTCGTGTCCCTTTTCTCTTCTTTTTTTTTTTTTTGGGGGGGGGGGAAGGTCGTTTTTTTTTTTTGGGGGGGGGAATCCGGGAAGGGCGTGTCCTTCTTGTCTTTTTGGGGGGGATGAGGTGCCCCCGTTTTTGGGGTGGTGTGTGTTTTTGTTTGGGAGAAGCCGGAAGGACGCCTCCTTTGTTCGGTGGGTTGTACTCTTTCTTGGGTGTGTTTTCCAGAAAAGCTGAAAAGGAAGCCGAAGCAATGTTTTTTGGGCGGTTGCCTAGAAAACTTGTTGATTCTCAGCAGGGAATGAGTTAGAATGAGCCCGAGAAGAACCGTCCAACTGGTGGTTTTCTTTAAGGGAATCCCTAGGTTCATTCCCAAGACCCTGGGTCATTCCCTACTGAGCATCGGCAAGTCTGTTTTGTTTCATTTGGGTGTTGATCAAAAGGTCCTTCACAGGGATGACCTAAATGGGAAAAGTTACCCATGCGCTTTTGGGGGCCAGGAATTTTGGAAAGTCGGGGAGCCCTTTTCTGGGTTTTGTTCTGGGCAACGAGAACAACTGCACCTGGAGGGTCCATTTGGGTGTGCTCTCCCATGTTGCTCTGGCACGGGACTTGGCCCCTCAACAGAAACGGAAACTGATAGATCTTCCAGGTTCTTTGCCTCAGGGTGCCATGGCAAAACGGAAAGGGTAACCCCAAAATGGGGCCCTGGTAATTGGAACCAAGGACGAAAACCTGCGGTCCAAGTCCTGGTGGTTAGTTTTGACCCATACCCATTTGTCATTTGGTGATCCGTTTTGAAAGACTGTACCCAAATGTGATTGAGAACATTGTGTACGCGCAAACCCTCGACTGTTTGCTTGACCAGGTTTGAGACATAACGCGGCTTCATTCTGCTGGGCTTTCGTTTGGACGCCGGTGTGTGTGCTTCTTCGCAGCAACGACGTTTCATACAAAAGAGTAGCTTTGACGGAGATAAACTGGGGATTACAACTAGGATTGAGCAGCTTGGCATACCGAATGGGGCAATATTTGCTCACATGAAGCCTACTGAACATAAGCCTTGTATGACTCGATCGAAGTCTCAAGAGCTTTGTTCATTTGCTCCGCATCTAGATTCAACTCGAAACCAAAATGGACGCACGCCAAAGTTTCGGGGTTTCCGAGTTCTAAACAGACTCCTCACGCCCCAAGCACCACATGTGGGTTGGCCATTTTTAGGGCGACCCCCCAAAAATGGTGGGACCCGTTCCTTTTGGTTTCCCCGTTTGGGCATGTATTTTTTGGTAGTTTTCAAGGAATACATAAAGGAAACCTTTGCCATTTTGGGTGGTCCAACCTCAGAGACGAGCTGCGATACCAACAAAATCCCATTGAAAGAGCTAAAGTAGTCATGGGAATCAACCACTTTTGGTATCGCAGAAAGGGGCCATTTTCCACCATGCATTGTTCTGGCATTACACTTGCTGGTGCGAGAAATGGAATGATTCGGCAATTCCTTTCAAGGAAACCACCACCAAGGGATGGTTTAATTAATTTAGGGCTCAGACTCCATTTCTCAGGGCCCCTGCATCTCCCGCACCAGCCAGCCAAACACGCATCCATAGCGATCCTTTTACATGGGACGGCCTTCTTCTTCCTCTTCCGGGTTGGGATTCACTGGGTATGGGTCAAGATTAAACCACCCGAAAACCACAGGGTTTTAGTCGCTGTTTCCATTTACCAGGGCAAGCCATTTTGGGGTTACCAACTACTTTTGACACCCACAGCCAACTCGCACCAGCCAGAAAAACACACATCCATAGTACTCCTTTTACATGGGACAGCATTTTTTTGCTTCTTCCAGGTTGGGATTTCCAACACCCTAGGTGCCATTTTGGGTTACCCGATGTTTGACACCCACAGCCAACTCGCCCTAGCGGGTGGTAGCTTTGGCCTTCAGTCGGTGGCGACTCCGCGGCGGCGGCTGAACCTGGGCCGCCTCGCGGAGCTGGCAGAGCCGCAGGCGAAATCCGCGAGAAATCTGTGAGAGGGGCGGGGGGTGGTGGGGGGTGGGGTGGGGGGTGGGGGGTGGCGGGTGGGGGGTGGGGGGTGAAGGGGGGGGGGGTGGGGTTGGGCGGGTGGGTGGGGGGTTTTCTTTCGGGTTTTCTGGGGTGACCTGCTATCAGGTTCCACTTTCTGGGTGGTTTGGATATGGGTGGGTTGCTATTCTGGGTATTTCTTGGGATGGGTTACAACCTACCGATTGTCATCCAACAGGACCTTTTGATTGACCAAATGAAACAAAAGGAGACTTGATGGTGCGATGTGTAGGGAATGAGAAATGGAATGAACCGTTTGGGGATTCCCGAATAAAGTAAGCCATACGGGATGGTTTGCAGAGATCTTTCCCTCATTCCGGGGTTGAGATACCACCATGAAAGCAGTTTTGATTGTCATTAAAATTGGGTGAGCTCTAGGAGGAGCCAACCATTCTTTGCGGTTTTCTAGAGGCTTCCAACCTTTTCAGGAAATCATGGGGAAGCTTTCCAGGGATCCAAGTCTTTTCAGGGAAACCGTTTCCAGGGAACGCTAACCATACTTTCCGAATCTTTTCAACCTGGAAACAGATATCCGGGAAAGAATGGTTGGAACATGGCTTGGAATTAATCCCTGGAGGTTTCAGGAACGATTGAGACCGGCAACTTCAATCGCTTTCCGCACTAGGGGCCTTAGATCTGATCTTGGGGAGGCTCGGGCCTTTCTCCTCAAAGCCGTGCTGATCCCCAGCCTCAAACCTAAACCCTGCCAGCCTGCCAGATGTGGGCGTTCCGCTAAAATTGTGGGGTTCTTCCTGGTTCCCTGTCAAGTACCAAGACCCCCCATTCTGAGAACCCCCCCCCCCATACTTGGCAGGCCCTTAAACTGCTTCTTTCGCGATGAAGCCCACAGCAATACCCTTTGGTCCAGTTTGATGGTTTGGGAAGGATTGAGCAACAGTCATAAACGAACCAGGGAGGGTGGCTCTACTAGAGCCCCCCTCCCTGGTTTGTTTACGACTTTTGCGGGTCTAGGACGACGCAATTTATTCAGACTCACGCGCAGATCCGGCGGCGGCCGGAGAAGACGCAGGAGATCGCCAGCAGGTGGGGAGCGCAGACTTGCAGCAGTTTGTGGATCGCTGGGGCGTGCTCGCCCTCGGCGAAACAGGTGGTTGGGCAAAAATAGGGTCACCCCAAAGTTTGGAATCCTGCATCATCCTTTGCTTGCAGCCGGACTGGGGCTTGGATTTACTGCTTGCAATGGGCAAACTGCTCGCCCACATGCCGGAGGCTCCGAGAGTAGGTGTTCCTTTTGCCAAGTATCCCTTGTTGTTCCTTCGGATTTGGTCCTGCCATAGGGAATGAAGCAGCTTCCGGGTATTGGTGGACTGAAGCGCTTTCGGGGATTCCCGAAAGGCAGCCACACGGGATTTGTTACACTGGGGTCGTTCCATGTCTGATCCCTGCCTATCGCACCAGCAAGTGTTCGCGGTGCAGCTCCATGTGGACGGCCAGGGTTGCCGCCTTCAAGGTCTAGGTGACGGCCGCATGTTGCCGGCTGTGTGCAAAATTGGGGGGGGGGGGGTTGGGCCCTGCGGCCCCTTCTCTTGGGCAGATTTTTAGTGTGTTTTGGAGAGAGTCTCTTAGCTGCGAGGCCCACCAAAGAAGTTGTGGGCATTGTAGACTATGCTTGCATTGCGGCCGCATGACGGAAGACTCTTCACTTCATCTTGCAGGTTGGATGTGGATGACGTCAGAACTGTTGCGTTGTTCGGATCTTCTTTTCTGAGCCAGCTGGAGCAATGAACTTGTGGCGACACCTCTGTTTCTCAAAATTCTGATCCCTTTTGGTAAAGGAACCCAGCCGTTTTAGGAATCGGACCGATTCCGTTGAGAGGCTCCCCCCATCCCAAGAAACGACTCGTCATGCGGCGCGTGTGCCATCGAGTGCTCGCCGACCACCCAAGGTGTTGCGTGCGCGCTAGACCCGCTCCAGGGTTTCCTCTTCCCGTTGGTGTGAAACGTTCCGCCTGGCCAATTTTAAATGAGCAAGTTTGCTATTGATGCCAGAGACATGGGGGAACCCTGCAAACTGCCGCTTAAAGAGCGGCCCAGCAGGTTGGTGACAGAGGCCTTGTGGCCATGGTGGCAAGCCTCCGGGGAGCCAAATCCATGTGAACGCCGAATTTGTCACGGTGTTTTTTGCTTGCCTCACCAACTGACCGCCAGCATCTGCCTGCGTACCACAGCTTCAAGTCCATGTGCTTTCGAACGCAGTGCCAGGCAAAAAGCGAGCGGCAGAAGGTCTGACAAGCTAGACCAGTTTCCGCCAAGCCGACTGATACTAGCCAGGTGCAGACTGAAGATCTGAGCAGCCCTTTCGGCTTCCGGCCTATGTAGCTACCGCCCGATGCGGTTCCTTACCCTGGCTGCTTGGCCAAACTGTCCGACTGGAACAGTTGCTTGCATGCGTGCAATCTTCTCTCTTTTCATTGAGTCGTATAGCCTTGGCACAGCCCTCCCATGTGGAAACATCCATCTGCCAGGTGCTTCGATGCTTTGAAGCCTGCGGTTTTGGACACTTGTTGGATCGGCGCGTGAGGCCCTGATCTCCTCGGCCCTGGCACTGGCCCCCGACTTTGCGGAACAGGCCAAGCAGGCATCGGAGAAGGCGCCGGAAGGGATGCGGCTGCCTACAGCTTGGGCGAAAGCTCCGGAGTTGCGGGAGTTGTTGATACCACATACGTGATACCTCGGGCTTATCAACCCTTTGCATGACAAAAGACATGTCATGGTTGTGGAAAACTGGGCTTCAGTACCGTTTTCCGTGATGCGATAAACTATGAGCTATTTGCATGCCATGCTCGTGTGAGACCGCCTCAGAATTGTTGTGCAACAGATTTGCTCTGCTATGACTCGCAAGATACCCCACGAGCTATGATGAAATGGCTGTGGGTCAAAACCCATGGTACCATTTTGGGGTAGGTGCATGGGGATTGGGATGTTCACTGGAGGTACGGGGTTTTGACCCATGGCCAGATGGGTCTTGACGGTCTTGACCTTGAAGACATCAGTCATCACTCCTTGGGCATGGTCGAGCTCCGCAGGAAAATTGCAATGTGTAATGCATTGGCCTGTCCAGCTGTACTTCCGATCGATCGCAACATCGGGGCTGCCACAGTGAAAAACCTGTGGTAAGTGAAGGTTGAAGGACACTTCCGGCCAGAAGTAGGTTCGGATATCCATTTTAGTTCCAAACTATTGGTTTGGGTCGACCAGTTTAGAACCGATCGGCCTTGACGCTGACTCGGAGGCCTGGGAGCATGCAAAAGAGTTGAAGACGTCGGCGAAGGATGCGGCCAAGATCTCGGAGGAGGTGAAGGCACGTAGGAGTTGCAGGGTGTCTCTGGTGGATATGGACGATATCCCGGAAGGACAGCTTCCTATAAAATTCAGCTGTGTCATTTTTTGTGTGGCTTTGACACGCGTCTTGATTTGTTTTTCAGTGCCATGGGCATGTTGGCAAGAAACAGCTCTAAAACCTACGCACAAGTTGGTTGTCTTGGGCGCAGGGCCGTAGGCGCTTTTACCAGCAGCCACCCCTCAGTACACTCTTTTGCCTTTTCCCCAGATAGCTAAAGCTATGGGAAAGCTATGGGGTTCTAACACTTCTAGTAAAGAGGGGAAATCTGTGGGTTTCAGCCGACTCGTTGTTTTTCTCTCTTTTTTATATTTATTAGTTTTCCCTGTATATATTATATATATAGGTGTTTAATATTTTCCGGTTATATATATATATATATATGTATATCCCCCTTTCTTTTCGGATTCCGTCGGAGCGAGCGCCAGGCTGCCGGTGAGGGAGCCAAGGCAGCCATGGAGAAGGCCAAGGCGCCCGTCCAACGAAAAATTGGCCTTCGAGGTTTCGAAGCGAAAAAGGGGCGCGTCCATTTGGTTAAGTGGTTTTCCATGTTTTTCTTCTAAAAAAATCTAAACAAAACACACACATATATATATATATATATATAAACCTGTTGGTGGTACAGGGTATCTCTCACTTCTGGACAGATGTTTTATTTTTTTTTCCAAGGGACTTAAGCCAACGGAGGGGTGGCCCCACTACCCAGTCTAGGTCCCCCAGCTAGGTGCCCTTCTCGCCCCTTTTTTGGTTGGGAGGGTTCCCCTAGTAAAATAGACTACAGACAAAAATCGGGTACCCTTATTCTAGCCGCTCAAATCGGGAGCACCTAGCAGTTGCCCAGTGGCTTGCCTCCTTTCTTCAACTTGTTTTGGGGAGGGGTTCCGATTCCTTTAAGGTCAGCCATCCAAAAAAGGGATGACGGTTTTCTTCCCATGGCCACTGGGCATCTGAGATAAGGGAGCTTCCTCTGAGCGGAAGTTGCTTTAAAGCTTTTGGGGTTTCATGTTTTCTCCTGGTGGCTGAGTTTGAGCCGACATGCCTCCATGGAAGAGACTGCAGAAGCATGGGCAGCCGTCCTTTAGGAAGGCAGGCAGGGAAAGTGTATTTTTAACGTGAAGGGGCATGCAGTGCTTATTTATCTGACAACGACAAGTCTCATTCTCTAGTACATGAAGACTGATGACGTCGATCAGTGAATCCTCAGTATCATGTTCTGTAAAATTGCTGGTACCGCCAACTTGTCTCGAGGCCACCCTGAGGCTTTGCCGTGGAGTCTCTCTTTTCGGTGGGAACGGCTTGCTGGTGCTAAAAGGAAGCCAAAAGCAAAACAACAATTTTCTAGGATCGCCAAAAACAGACGGGACCCATGTTCCACTTTATCTCGAAGCAATTGCTGAGTTCCATCAGGCTACGATTTGCCAACAGCATGAGGTACTATCCGGTGTGTCATTTTCCGTTCACGGGGGGGGGGGTTCTCAAACTAACGGTCCTGTAAAATAGTTGGCTTCCTTTTGATTTCCCTTCAAAACCATCCAAAAAGGCTACCTTTGAAAGACATACCCATACTGTGGATGGACAGAATCTTGCACCACCTAAGGCATGCTGGGAATGATTCGATTCCCCTGCAAATACCAAGCAACAATAGTTTCGAGCATGGTTTCTTAGGTGCGAAATGGATTCCGCCACCATCCCACAGTATTCTTGTTGGGCTTAATCCGATCAAACGAAGAGCTCCTCGGAAGGAGCTGGACGCCCAGATGTCGAAGCTCTACGCGTCGACACGGCAGAGCACCGTGGCCGCGGCCAGCGCGGCCGCTATGGCCTACTACCAGGAGGCGGGAGGGCAGACCGGGGGTCGATTTAACTGGGTGAATTATAACGACCTCACACGACCGAATTCACCCCAAATGGTGGTTTATGTGGGGAATAGCCCCCCAACCAGCTTGGTGAAGTATTATGACTCACCCAGATTTGAGCCAGGGGTCTCTACATTTCCCCATGTTGCGGTTTGAAACATCACCGAATTTTTGGCCCCTTTATTGAGTTTCCCTCGGTAAAGGTGATGTTTTCAGAGGAAATACGGGGAGCCCTTCACTATCAGCTTGCCTTAGGCTTGCCTTTCCACTTAGTTTTTGTTTGCTTCGGCCTTCTCTGTTTGCGGCTCCTGGGTTTCGGGGGGTGGGGAGGAATGGCCGTATCATGGGTACCACTGCTTGAGGAGTCGTTTTTGGTTGAGCCAGGGTTTAGAATGTGTCCCAAGGGATGGCCAACGAAAGAGACGCTTCTCACTGAATATGAACGTCTTTTGGAGAAAATACGGGGTGCTACAGGCAACGAGGACCAAGCAGGCGGGGCCGTGTGGAGTTTCTCGCACTGTTCTTTTGCGGCTAGGACAATGAAAGCCGTGGGATTTTCCCCGAGAGCTGCAAGTTTCTGATCGCTGGAAGATATCTGAGTTTGGCACATGGGGGAACCCCATTTTACACAGGTGGGCTTCCTTTCGTTTCCCCTGAAACCTACAAAACAACAGGTACCAACAGGTACCAACTCAAACAACGGACAGGCTCAATCTGTGAACAGGGCCTTTGTGTTGGTTTCGAGGGGAAAGGAGTTATCGGCAGCCTTTGGTCCAGGTAAAGCAGGCTGGCGCCCAAGCCGTTGCGGAGGCCGCTTGGGAGTTTGGGCGCATAGCGGTCAGAGGGTCATTGGGTTCTGATTCCTACGGCCCTTTTTTGGACCGATGCCAACTTGCGGCCTCGTGCCGCCATGTGCCGCCTTTTGAAGGGCCCCTGACTTTTGACTCGCCTGAGCTCTCAGGCTGGGCATTTCGGATGCGCCAAGCCGGCATCCAATCTTGACCTGCCAGCCCCGGAGAAAGTCAAGGCTTCTTCTTCATGGTGGACATAGTCTTTTCACTGGTCATTGACCGAATTCCTTTTAAAGTTCATGCAGGTGTCTAGCAATGTCAGAAGGAAGCGGGAGGAAATTTGATGGCTTGGGATGCCCAACATTTTCTGAAATGATTACAGAGCTTTCAGGTTCTTGGAGTACCTCCATACACCTTCCCACAGAATGTTTCCCACAGGGGTCCCTGACTGCGAACGCCTCTTCCAGCCAGTTCTCCTTTTGGTTTCCCTCAAAACCACGCCCATGAATGATGCTGTGCCCAGAAAAAGAGTTTGCAGAAGGGCTCGCGCACACGAAGGGATCTGACGGAACTTGCTCAGCAGAATGTGGGTGTGGGTCAAAATTAAACCACCAGGAGACCACAGGTTTATTCACCAGGGTGCCATTTGTGGAGCCTATTTTTGACCCACGGCCATTTGATGGAGCTCGCTTTGCAGACTGTGGCCGTCTTCCGACGGCAGGCTGCCCGGCCAGTGAGCGGTGCAGAGGAGGAGGAGAGGGTGGCAAAGGCGGCCATCGAGGCGGCTTGGGACCCCAGCGTCCGGAGTGTCACGGACTCGCCATTCGAGGTTCCAAGAGCCAGCGGGTCCCCAATGGAGCGTTTTGGGGCGGGGGATGGCGGGGGAGGGGGGCTTTGGACTTGTTTGATGCTTGCTTTGGAAGCGGAGATCTGACTATCCGGCACAAACTGAGTTCATGGAATCATGGAACATGCGTGCCTTTCTGAATTGGATAGTCAGTTCAGCCGCTTCTTTGCGATCAACGTAAGTGCATTTGCAATCTGCCAACTCACCAGACGCTCTGTGAGGGTGAGGTTCTTTGGCGGCAAAGACCAAAGCCGCATGGCACCGATCTACAGTTTGTGCAATGACGGGTTTGGGCGCAAAGTACCTATTCAATGGCCTTCGAGCGCTACGAAACACACGGGGTTCTTCCTCATTCGCTGCCGGAGGATCGTCACTCTTGAGCCGAAGATTCCAAGATTCCTGTCCAAGGATCCCTCGCTTCAGGCCAGTCTGTTCACCTCCCTGCACGGAACCCTCTTGCTGCATGGATTGTGTTCAGACGGATATATCGTTCGTGAGAGCTGTTGTTATGTACAGACGCTTGCATTCCCGTTGGAATTCGACGCAACCAGCTAGAGGCGTGCATTGCGTCGAATTCGGGTAGTTGACAAAGCGCGAAAGAGCGCTATAATTGTGCTGCTCTCCACGGCTTTGAACAAACAGATGGCCCCTCCAAAAGAGTCCGCGACAGCAGCACATTTAAGGTTTGTGATTGCTTTAATAGCCGGCCAATTGGGACCCCAAACCGGACCGGTCGCTTTCCTTCTGGCTTGAAGCCATAACCGGGGTCCCCCCAAACAACGCAACCCAACCTTCCTTTTGAGATGCCCTAAAAGGGCCCTTCGAAGTGACATCCTCAAATCTATTTTCTAGCTAGCAATTTCAAGGGCCAAAGTACTTTTGCCCAGACACCCGGTGGTGCCTTTTCTTCCCTCTTTTTTTTTGGAGGGGGTTCCCTTTAAAATCAACCATCAAGAAAGATCAGGGCCCCTTTTTGCCCCATGAAGTTCCACTGAACTAACCAGTCTTTTTCAGCACCCCTGCACTTTCCATCCTTTTCCCCATGGAGATCCCACCACAAATCCCCGGTCTGAACCCCAAACCGCAAACCGCCTCCAGCCGCCGGTCGACGCTTCCCGAGGCCATGCCCTACCACGAGGCGCAGGTGGTGGCGCAGAAGCGGGCGGCGGACTACCAGCTCCGGGCGCAGGCGCGAAGTGAGCGGCAGTCGGTGCTCGAGCGCGCGAGCTCCGCGCGAGGTTTTCGACCTGAAGCCGCGCAAAATGGGCGGCTTTTCCTTCTAGGTTCCCCTTGAATTCCGCGAAGGGCTAGCCTGAAAAGAGTACCAAGGACCCAGAAGGGCGGAAAAATAAGGGTACTAGTAGTATTTATGTCCTTGTCATGGCGAAGTATGGTTTGAACGCATTCCATGTGATTAAGCCGAGGCCTTCAGATCAAATTCGACAAACATACATATATATATATATATTTATGCCGTAAGTTTTGGAGGCAGGGCACTAGTCAGAAGACGTGACGTTTGTTTCCATTGACCTATTTATATCGTGAGAGTTGAACTTGAGCTCCTTGCAGGTCAATCCGATGGGTGTGACCCATCTTGCTCCTCGGGTGTTTTAGTTGGATTTTAGTTGAAGGTCGAGTGTTTTTTCTTCTTCCCCCATTGTACCCCACGAAAAGCTAAACACCAGGAAGGGAGACTAGTTTGGACAGCCCGGGCATGCAAGGGATGATAGGTTTCACGGTTATGTTCGGAGCATGCGGGTTTGGTTGCTCCGACGACGCCTCAGAGCCTCTAAGACTCTAAGATTCTCTTTTGGGACATGCTGGCATTTGGTTGAACACAGGGGTGTGGTTGGGTGTGTGTGGGTGGGGTGGGCAACGACCCTTGTCCAGTAAGGGTCTCGTCAAAAGAAGACAGACCCGCTTGATTGATTCATGGGTTGAGCGCCTTTCACGTTGGCTCCGACGCAAACCTTGGAGGGTCTGGAGTTCCAGATTTCATTCCTTCAAGGGGCTTTTCCTCCGTCTCAAATTGGAACATCCAAAAGTGGCAGTTTGAATGGACACCGCCAGTAAATCGAAACCTTTGAAGGGGAATCCAGGGGCCAAAGCAAGCAAAGAAGGTGTTGGTCAGGGGTTGGGGGGGGTGTGGGGGGGGTGGCAGTTGGCCAGTTGGCCTCCGCAAAGGACTGGGGGGGTTTTCGCGGGGTTGCTTTGATTTTCTGGCCAAATGAACGGAGGAAACCGCTGGGACCTGAAGGTAGAGATGCACAATGAAGCGAGGCGGCCCGTAGCTATTGACTCGGTGCCTTCATTAGCTTCGTCGCTGGTGAAGCGAGGCTCGACATCAGCTTGAGTATCATTGGGATGGGGGTGGGTCAAAAAATGGTACCCAAATCGCAGTAGTTTTGGTCCGTTTAGACCAAGGGGTACCCTCCCCCCCCCCCCAAACCCCCCATTTGATGGACAACCTCTGCGAATACTGGGCTAAACCACCTACCAACTGCAGGAAAAACTTGTCCACCCGCGGCACAGGCCATGAGCGCAGCTGGCAACCAGCTGCAAGTGGAGGGTGTGCGCTTAGCTCCCAGTGCCGCAGGCGCTCTGCATGTGAGAGGGAAAGTTCAAAGACGTCAGCTGGGTTTGTTCAGATGTTCTTTCTTTATTTATTTACTTATTTATTTATTTAGTTATTTGTTTATTATGACAGCCCAATGGATATACAAAAAGAAACACCGCAAGTGACGCTGTTTACGAAAACCCAATTGGTTCTGCTTGTCTTGATTACCATTCTTACCCGCATACGGAGGGCCTAGCAGAGCTGGAAGTTCGCGAATCGCAGGCTACCAGCAGACGGGAAAGCCCAAAGAGGCCAACCAGATCATCATGACAGCGCACATGTTGGTGGATCAAGGCAGGGCTTCAACCCGCCAGTTCGCGCGCCAGTTCGCGCCAGTTCCAGTTCGCGCGCTGTGAGGGCTTGAGCCGCGGCTTGGGCTGTTGCTGTTGGCTGCGTTGCTTTTGGCCGCTGGCTTCCATCACGAGGTCGGTCAAAGACTGGACTTTTGTTTCTCGCTTTGACCTATGGACATTGCTGGTAGAGTCCCCTGAACTTGAGCTTGGCCATGGGGAGGTCAATGAGTGTGATCCATGCGATGGCATCAAATGCTAGCCTCTTTTGAGTTGGTACCCTTTTTGTGCTTGTTTCAAAGGCAAGGGAACCGAGGCGTATTTTGTGGGTTCCCTCAAAAAGAGACAAACAACAATTGGGGAATGATTCACTCGCGCTATGAGCCAAAAGCGGCCGCAGGCCTGAAGTTGAAGCGCCAAGCCAAGACCATCCACCAGACCGCCGTGGAGCTCAACGACGCGCTGCCGGCCTACAGATCCGCGGAGCAGGCGGGGACGTGCGCGCTGGCTGGCCCGACTGGGCGGTTTGCTGGGTTGGGGCCTTTTGGGGACGGACTCCTGGTCCTCACTTTGCGAGTTTCCGCTTTTCGTTAGTCACTCACTTTTTGGGAAGTTGGGTCCACTTTAATTAGTGGCCAAGCAGAGGGCCTACTTTTTGACTATGCACTCGGGAAGTGAGGGGCGCAAAAGTGGCTTGGCGGCTTTGCTGGCATGCGGCTGCCCCAAGCTCGATGTTGAAAGTCGTGGGGCGAGTTTTGCGTTGACCTTGGCATACAGTGCAGTTCGAGAAACAATCAGGTCTGAAGTGCACTGGCACTCCAAGAACCTCCATGTTTCCAGGCATTGGGAGTGCCAGCCAACCCTCACTTATGAATTCTGTGAAATCACATGTGGGTCAGTATTGAAATCACCAGGGGACCACAGATTTTAGTCCATGCTTCTATTTACCAGGGCAAGCCATTTTGGGGTTACCCTATTTTTGACCCACAGCCACATGTCCTCTCTCTAGCTGGGCCTGGGCCGGCGGCAAGCCTCAGGCCGCCACCCTGCATGCTGCCGCCATGGCAGCTGGGCAACTGCTGCCCACCAACGCGCCGCCCTACTAGGCGACCAACCCATCAACTGCGCTTTGGTTCGCGGCTTTGCAGTTTTTTTTTTGGAGCAGACATGGACCCACCCAACCCAAGCCATAGAAGAGAGGGAAATGGCAGGCGTTCGAGCCTGCGACTCAGAACGAGGCTTGGGAGAACTAGAAAAGCGCACTGCACGTGTTGAGTGCAGAGCTTAAGCCGACGCATATGCACCACTTGACTTTGACACTTCTGGGATTCTAGCCACTTGGCCCTGAAAGCAAGGATTGACCAGAAACGACTGGTGTGCATTTAAGTGCTTTTCGGGAGCTTCTGGAGCCTCTTTGGGAACCCTTCCTGCTAAGAAATTGAGCCCTTGATTTCTTAGCGGCACTATCCATGCTTTCTTCATCGCACAAGTTTGCCAAGAATTTGCACGAACATTCCAGGGGGCCTCAATTTAGCAGCAAATGCAGTTGCAACCTACTTGATTTGGCCATCGCCCCTGAATTTATCACATGATTTCTTCCACCGCGCTTGCGCTTGCGCTGACGGAAGACAAAGAGCGCTGGATCCTGCCAGGTCGCGACCGGCTCGGCGCGGAGCGCCGAGCCGAAAAGAGATGTGAGCGTCAGCACTGCATGCATCATTCGTTGGTTTGCAGATTCGGGCAGATTCGGGCAGATTCGGGCAGTGCAATTGCGAGCGTCAGCACTCAGGGAAGCAGAGCATGTGGGCACATGTGATTTTTGTGCCGGCGAGGATTTTAGGCTTCTCAGACTGCCAGTAGCAGGAACTGCACGAAGCACCACCCCTGCCTGAGTTGTTTGTGTCACATTGGAGCCGCTTATGAACACTTTGGCCGCAACCCATCCAATTGCCAGCCAGCAACAAGTTTTATTTCCAGGCTCCCACGCGGCAACAAACAAGTGTAGAACCTACAGCAGCGCACGGCACCTTTGTGAACAGGTTGATCTCTCTCTCTCTCTCTCTCTCTCTCTTGCCGCGACTCTTGATCCAGCCACTCATCAAGGCTGACGCCAATACGGCACGCCTCAGGATGGCAACAGCCGTGCCAGACAACTGCAGTCTATCGGCTGGCGCAGTCTCGAAGAAAAAAACAACAACTCTCAGCCTGTCTTTGAGCCAGCTAATCGCCATGAGCGGCATGAGCGTTCAGGGCAGTCAGCAGGCGTGGCAAGGGAGATGATGGAAACGCATTGCGTTTCAGAGAAGGGAATTCCGCGTGCATCCATGTTGCCTGAGCACATTGACCAGCCCAATGCTCTGCAACCATTCGACCGCGGAGGAAGCCTCTGGACCGCATGCATGTGTGTTGCTTTCTGTGGGTTAACCTGTGGGATGGCTACTGTGGAAGCAGCTGTTGACCTCGGTGACTGCGCCCTTGAAGTCTGACGCTGTCAGCACTTTTTTGGAAGGGGAGGGAGGAGCCCAAATAAGGTCCTATTCTGGGCTGCCTTAAGGCCTTATTTGGGCAGGGCTCCTTAAAAGATCTCCATTTTGCCACCATTTGAAGCATGGCTGGCTTTTTCATTCCACCAAAATAAAAAGTTGGAGTTGCCACCTTTTGCAACCATGTGAAGCATGGCTGGCTTTTCCAACACCAGAAAAAAGTTGGAGTTGCCCCCATGTACAAGTTGCAATGTGGCGTATGCATCCGGGTCCCTGGGGTCTCCATCTCCCAGCTCCGTAGGCCATGGCTGCGGCGCTCTTCGAGTCCGTAGAGACGGACGTGAGCTGCGCGGCTTGGGAGGGGCTGAAGTTTGAGGCAAGGGGGTGGGCTTGGAATCCAGGGATTGATTCCGAGTCTCCATTCTTTGCAACCATCGTTCTTTACAAACAAAAAAGCTGTTTTCCCAGGGTTTTTGGTGGTTCTCTAGAAAGAAGGATCCCTGGAAAGAATTGGGAAACAACCCTTAGAATAGCACGTTTGTTCACTTGCTGTTTTTCAAGGTGGGTGTTCCTTTGCGTCTTGTGAGCATCATTCTTGCCCGAAGATGAGTTGGAGCAGGGTAAAAGTCTATGGGACATACGCTGTAGCCGCTGCTCTTGTCTTCCCCGACATGAGTGGCAGTTGCTTGTTGACTGACTCGATTGCCTCGATTTGTCCCGCTTTTTTTTGTTCTTCGATGGTTTGTTTGTTGATTCCTATCTTGGTTCTCATCAGACTTGCGTTAGGCCTGAGCTGGTTCGATTTGATCTGGATTTGATACCGAGCCTGGGATGCACAAGTTCTTTGATGGGCTGCCTGACTTCCGGTTGGTTCGTCGGCTTCTTTCTGGGCCAAGTGGGTGGACGCCGACGATTTGACTGTTGGAGCTACACTGTCCTGCAGGACACCTTCACAAGAGTTCTTTCCGCTCAGGCTCGCGGACCATCCGCATGACCAACTTCCCGGCCAACTGGCAAAACCTCACGGAGGCCGGGTGGGACGCCATCTGGGTACTCTGACTTTCAGCAGACTCAGCTCCTGAGGAATCTCTCGGGTTGCAAGAGATCTGCGTCGTTGGGATGGAACTTTGTAGGCAATCCTCGGGATTTTTTTTTGCGCGGAAGCTGGGCTCGCCACATGGGGTCAAATGTCGATGATTGCGTTCCTTAAAAAAGACGTGGCTCGTTTCCTTGGCCCAAACCCAAAATGGCATGAGTGGAAATAACGAACACGAGCCGTCTCAATGGGCCTTCGTCAACGAAACTCGTCTCAGAGCCGCCGGATGGGTGGACGTGTTTTGGAGGGTACCCGTTTCACCTCAAAAGTTTCCAGGGCAGCCCAGGGGGATTCTTTTTTCACAACGGGGAAGTCAGACCGGGAAAACGGTCGTTTTTCTTGTCCCCCCCTTTTTGACGCTCCGACGGGGAAGTGAAACCTGTTGCCAGGCGCAGCTGGTTACAAAGGTCAACGCCTTGCTGCAGACCCAAGGGGCTTTGGAGCAGCCGGCTTCCGCCATGCGGTCTCAGAACCAGGCAGATGCGCTTCGCGAGTTGCAGTGTTTTTTTTCTTGAAGCACGGCCAAAGTTCAAAAATGGAACCCGAACACCTGTTCAGGGTCAGTCAGAAGAAGTCTTCACTCTGAACAATATGTGTTTCTTGTTTCTCCGGCTTTTTGTTCTGCGGATCCGAAAGTTAATCTGGCGATTTGCGCGGAGCTCCATTTAAGAAGTCCGAAGCACTTTTGGATTGTACACAAGATATGTTGGGTTCCATGTGAATCTGAACAATCTATAAATTTGGGCTTATTTTTCCTGATGGTTCAATCAACAGGTTTCTTGGTGATACTGTCGATGGACGAATTCCTGCACCACTTGCTAGGCGGTTAGTTGTATTCATGGATGAAACTCATTTGGTGCGAAATGGGATTTTGGAACCATCCGCTTTTTTCCCCCACTTCGTTTCCTGACCTCGCTTCTTGAGGTTTAGTCCCACATGCCCATTCGAATCCAGATTCCGCCCTTAAGTTCCTGCACTTCAGTCGTCTTTGGGGGTTCCACGCGAACTGGGTGCGTCTAGAGGGATTTGTTGGGTTCTATGTCCCCTTTGGGCCGTTGTTTGGAAACCAAAAGGATGCCACACTACATTTTTTTCTGAGACTCAAAGTCTTCCAACCTGCTTTCAGCTTTGGAAAGAAGATACGCTGGTGTTCCCTTTATTAAGAATTAAGCCAAATAGGCGTGTTTGTCGTTGAGGCGATTTTCTGCTTGGTTTTTCCCCCGATAGCTGAAAGCTATAGGGGTTCTAGCTTCTAATAAAGCGGGAAAAGTGATTTGCGAGATTGACCGCCGGGTGCTAGGGGGCATGCAGTTTGGGGTGCTGGTGCAGGTGCTGTTTTGGGGTGCTGGTGATGGTGTGGGCGCATTTTTGCAAGATTGAGTTTAGAGTGCTAGGGGGCATGCAGTTGCTGGTGCAGGTGCTCTTTTGGGGTACTGTTTGACGGTGTGGGCACATTTTTGCGAGATTGACGGCCGGGTGCTAGGGGGCATGCAGTTTGGGGTGCTGGCGCAGGTGCTGTTTTTGGGGGGCCTGGTGATGGCATGGACACGTTTTTGCGAGATTGGCGGCAAGCTGCTAGGGGGCATGCAGTTTGGGGTGCTGGTGCAGGTGCTTTTTTTGGTGCTGTTTTGGGGCGCTGTTTGATGTGCTGGTGACGGCGTGCGCGCATTTTTACAAGAGGAAAACATGGGGCCGCGAAAGGACCGCGAAAGGCCGGCGAAAGGGCCGCTTCCAGGAACTTTGTATTTTGAGCAACCCCCATATACAAAACACACGATAACCCTTACCCGGTGTCCATTGGCTACACAAGAGGTTTCGCAATTTTCTCATATAATAGAATGTGTTTTAAACAAGGCACAAGATGTGTTGCCAGGCTCAATACGAGCTTGGGCTTCTGACATATATTTCTTGCGGCCGCATGATCGAGTTGGTGGACAAGCACGGGAGCCGTGTTGTCAAGCACGGCGACACCGCCGAGCTGTGCATCAGCAGGCAGAATCACAAGACGGGCTCCAGAAAAAAGGCAAGATTTGAGCAGGGCAGACATGACAATCCACCTGATACCAGAGACGTGTACCTGTTCGATGGGGAGCGGCAGGTGTGGACAGATACGATTGAGGGTACAGTGAATATTCCGCCCAGCTATCACGGAGTGTACAGCTGTCCCTGTTCGGCAGTGCAAGGGTACAGGCGCAGCAAGAAGCTCCAGCGCATCCTGAGTGAGTCCAAGCTGCCCGCCAAGTTTGTGATACCCAAAGCGCACACATACCGAGTCAGCAGGATCAACAACGCGGAAGACCACGATGAAACTATTGGTGACATTTCCATGGACGCAGGGCACAGCAGCACAGCAATGACCAGGAGCTACCGCGATCGCGATAGACCCATAAACGGGGATACTCCCTGGTCTGAAGGGACTTTGGCATTGCTGGCGCGACGAATAGAGGCATTTCGGCTCTCACCTGGTTTCAAAAGGGAGAGACAAAGCCGGTGAAAAAGCGATGCTCTCGATGCCATACTTCCCGCTGGATGAGCAAGTGCGCCATAGGCATCTGCACCATATGTGTTTCCAGAATGAGGAAGAGGAACATGCTACCCGGAGGAAGCAGCGCGCTGCCCGCGCCGTGCAGATTTGCGGGGCTAGCCTCGTATGGGCTAGGAAAAATGCGCCTGTACAGGATTTCCAGGCCATTGGTCGCATCTCTGCAGAAAAGAGCGCTTCCGCAGAGCGCAGGCGACATACTCAAGCGCGGCTGGCGCCAAGCTGGGCCTCTCAGCCATCACAAGTCCTGCGCGGCCTTGGGGTACCTGTTGCACGACCACGAATCTGGCTTCAGCAACGCAGAGCAGACCTGGCTGGGCAGCTGAGCTTTCGCAAAGATTTATGAGTTCACAAATTACTCTAGAGGAAAAAAGTCCTATTAAGGGCTAGCTCTTTTTGAGGAGCGAACTGCACAACGAGGACGATTGGATTTTGTGTTTCAAGCAACACGTAATTCCTACTGTTTTGTAAAGCACTGCAACTTGGGAGCTAAGCTGCGTTCCTCTTCTGAGAAATTCAGGCAATGTTGGGTCCAACTTTTCTTCCGCGAAAACTCATGGTATATTGAACTACCCCTAGTTGAAACTAGGGACAGCTCCTTATTAGGGCCTTACTAGGGTCTTAAATCTTAATACGCCCCTTTTGTAGGTCAGCAAAATAAGGCCAAAATTGGGGCTACTAAGTTTTCACAAGCAAAAACAACACGTTGGGGGCTGCCCTTATGTTTGCATTATCATGCCCTTATGTTTGCCTTGTTTTGGCCTTATTTCAGAAATCTGCAAATGCCGTTGGGGTTGTCCTTATTTCGGCCTTATTTTGGCGTTATTTCACAAATCTTCAATTGCCGTTGGGATTTCGCCTTATTTGGGCCTTATGTTGGCCTTATTGCAAATGTGGGTGGGGGTTGCCCTTACTTTGGCCGCATGTTGGCTTGATTGCAAATCTTGAAATCAGGTGACCTTATGGTTCGCTTTCTGTTTGATTCTAGGTAGGGTTTGGCCCTTACCTTGACACAGTTTGTATTTTTGGTGGGGGAAAGGGAGCTTCAATCAATGGTAGTTGGCTAGGCGATAGTTAGACATACCATGAGGGAGTTGTTTCTTTGCGTCTCCATGAAGCGTTTTCCACCCCTCCCCTTACAACTGGCAACAAACAGCGTTGGGGAATTTCGGGTCGTGTTATTAGGCTGTCAGCGCTTGAGGCGCTTTGTCTGTCGAGGGCGCCTTCTTCCACCACAAGCCGTCTGACACCTACACCTTGTCGTTGGGGTTTCGGAATTGGTGCGCACTGGGTCTAAGCATGAAGCGCGTGGAGACAGAGCAAGGGAAGGAGCTGCCGCAAGTTGACCGCGGCTTTCGAAAACCGGAATAAAACATGTTCCCCCTACCCGCATGTAACCCCTTATTAAGCCCTTATTAAGGCTTAGGGGTTGCTTTGCTACAAGGTTCCGCCCGGGTTTTGGGGTGAGCAGGAGTTCCTGCTGATTGACACCGACTCAACAGCGCCTTCTTTCCTTTTGAGCTACACATTGGCAGGAGATGCCTGCGAGTGGGAGGCGGTGCAAACGCAAATAGTGCCACCTGGGATGACGCGCATGAACTTCAGGATGATAAAGACGATGAAGAGGATTTGGGTCTACAAAAACCCGAGCAAAGGGATTGCTTTGCTGTGCTTGCTGGATGCCTACTGGGGTCGAGAGGCGACACAGTACAAATCGGCACGTGCTGCAGTCGATTATTGCAGGCAGCAATATGCCTTCACGATCCTGGAGGGTCATGAACTCCTGGGCAGAAAGGAATTCCTGGGGCTATGCGCCTGAACCGAGCCAGTGGCTAAGCTACAGCAACACCTAGCGTCCTGGCAGCAGCACATAACATGGCTCAGCGCCAACAAAGAAGCGTGCCAAAAGGCTGTGCCCCTGGACGGTACCGCGCCTCAAGAGTCCAATGTGGCTAAGGTTCTCAACTGGTCGGTTCACGATCTGGGGACCCGTCTGGATATTGAGATTTTGCTGGGTACTGCTCGGATAGATTCGAGTACTACTCGAATATGCTCGGACGGACCTAAAAAGGCGTTGCAAGAAGCTCATGAAGATGTTTAGCCGCAGGTCGGTTCTCGATCTGGCGAACTGTCCGGATATTGCTCGGATCGCAAAGTGGTCAACACCGTCGCCAAGAGGGCTGTCGAAGGGCACACCTGGCGCGTTTGCTGGTAGTTGAGTCAGCTGGATAGAGGAACAAAGTTCCCGAAACAGTATGCTGCACTGATAGGGTTCTAACGATAAGAGTAAGGGGCCGGGGTTAGATCAGGGTGCTTGATTTGGTCTGAGTATGCTGGATGGTATATACGTACAATCGTGACTTTGCAAAATCTAGGAACGCATTTCGGCTGCGCCGCCCCTAATCCCAGGAAAATATTTTTTGCAAACGTGACGTTGCCCCCCCCCCCCCCAATCCCAGAAAAATAGTTTTTTGGCAGGGGTCCCTACATCATTGGTTTTTTCTAAATGTCCGACCACTTACAGTAGGTTGCGCAGGATCCAAACGTTATAAGTCACACTTCTTCACCAGCTATCCTTCAGTCAAATTTGAACATTGAGCCAGTGTGCGAGATCTGCGACATGATATGGCACGCATCGACTCTCATCATGTCCTCTGACTGTTTGACGATTTATATAGAACCTTACAGCATTTTGGGCTGCTTCTTGTGTTTCTATGCCTACTATATTTGTAGACACGCAGCCATCGCCCGCACCAGAAGAGTCACCCACGCCGGGCGAACAGCAATAATTTATAACCATAAGACACAGTTGCAGGCAGCAATATCCTATGGCTTTCACGATCCTGGAGGGTCATGAACTCCTGGGCAGAAAGGAATTCCTCTGGCTATGCTGCGAATAACTTTTTTTTAAATCAACTTGGGAGTCCTGTTTTTCGCTGTCTGGGGTCTATGCTGGTGTAATTTTTTACAGGGGAAGCCGCTTGGACACCAACCATTTTGGGCACCCCTCTTGGCCCGCTATTTTGACACAGAACCCCCTTTTTGTTGGCTTGTTTTGAAGGTTGGTGTCTCGTTGTGGGGAAACACAACAAGGGAACCACCTACATTTTCCGAAGCAAAACATCAAAGGCAGCCCAAAAAATGACACTTTGCAGGTGTCTTTTTTGGGGAAAAGCACTTTTTTCCCGAAGAAAAGAACGGGACGAGCCACATGCAAAGACTGTGCTGGGCTGGATTTCGCTTGCGTCCGCCAGCTCATGGCCACTGCGACTTTCCGGGACCGAAGCAGCGCCGAGAAGGCGGTGAAGACGCTGCTCCTCCGGCCCGAAAAAGGAAACAGGGTGGGGTTTGGGGGGGGGGGCAATTTAGTTGGTTCAACCAGCCTTCTCCGGTTTTGTGAGGTTTTTCGTGGTTTAGTTTTTAGATTTGACTGCTTGGACCTGGGATAGACTCAAAGGTAGGGAGTTTCCCTTCCACCACCCTGGATGGAAGTCTGCGGCGCACCAGGCATCCGGTTGCTTTTCGTTGGTTGGGGCTTTCTTTCTCGGGTTTTTCGTCCACTGTGCCATGGACAGGTAGCGTCCAACTTGAGAGGAGTCCGGGGGAAAATTTAAAAAAAAAAAAACAATGCCGTAAAAGAAGGAGGTTCCAAATAGACGCCACGTGTCCGTCATACCGGGGGTGGGTGGGTTTGGGTTCATCGGAGACGGGGGATCGATGCGACTTGATTGTTGGGGTGGTTGAGGGTATACTTTTGTTGGGTCGGTTGAAAGGGACCCCAGAAGGAACACGGAAACCATCTTGGGGAGACACACCGAAACAAGCGCCGGAAAGAATTCGAGCCCGGAGTTCGTCCACCCCAAAGAGACAACCATGTTTCTCTTGGCTTGCATCGCCTTTAAAAGGCCAGGTGAGTTTCAGGTGGATGGCGGAAACGTAAAAAATGAAACCCGATCGGAAGTCCGCCGAGCGGGTAAAAATAGGAGTAAACCATTTTGTTCATTTCTGAAGGGAAACCTAAGGAAAAGCCGTTGCGCCATTGTGGGGCTCCACATGTCGAAACAAAGACGTGCCCATGTGGGGATTGATCAACAGATCCTTTACATGGGGTGACCAGTAGGGAAACCACCAACACACATGACTTCCACTAAGTGTGAAAGTTCACCATGGTCATTCTTGGGGCCCTAAATGGAATATGGATCAACCCTCGAGTATAGAAATGTGCCGCAACCTCATCAACTGCCTCGCATCTTTTTTCCCGAGACCAAGCCGTGCCTTTGGCTCAGCATCTCGGCTTTCAGCTGAGGCACGGTGTGGACAACCGAACGGAAGCAGACCCTTGGCCGGCCGAGATCGGACCGGAGTTCGGAGTTCGGAGTTCCGACCGCTGAAATTGGAGGTTCCAATCACTTGGTGGTTCAACCAGCAATCCGGTTGCTGAGTTTGTTTTTCTTTCTTTTTCCCCAGAGCTGAAAGTTATAGGGGTTCTAACTTCTAATAAAGAGGGGGAAGTGATTTGCGAGATTGGGATGGGCTGGTGCCAAGGGGCGTGCAATTTGGGGTGCTGGTTTTTGCGGATTGGGGTGCTGTTTTTTATGTGCTGATGGCAGTGCGGGCGCATCTTTTCAAGATTGACGGTAGGGTGCTAGGGGGCATGCAGTTTGGGGGTGCTGGTGCAGGTGCTGTTTTGGGGGTGACGGTGTTTTTGCATCTTGACGGTAGGGTGCACGGGGGCATGCAGTTTGGGGTGCTGGTGCTAGATGGTTTTTGGGATGCTGTTTGGGGAGCTGTTTGGGGAGCTGTTTGAGGTGCTGGTGACGGTGCGGGCGCAATTTGCGATATTGACGCCCGGGTGCTATCGGGCATACAGGTGACGGTCCAGGCACATTTTTGCATCTTGACGGTAGGGTGCAAAGGGGCATGCAGCTTAGGGTGCTGGAGCAGGTGGCGTTTTGGGATGCTGTTTGGGGTGCGGCTGGGTGTTTGAGGGGATGCTGTTTGGGGTGCTCTTAGGGTGACGGTGAAGGCGCATTTTTGCGAGATTGACGGCAGGGTGCAGGGGGCATGCTGTTTTGGGATGCTGTTTGGGGTGCTGTTGGAGGTGCTAGTGATGGCGCGGGTGCGCGATTGACGGGGTGCTGTTTGGGACGCTCTTCGGGGGGTGCTGTTGGAGGTGCTGGTGTGCAATCATTGCTATCTGGGGTCTATGCTGGTGTAATTTTATGGTTTTTAGTTGGGTTAGCGTTTTTTCCCCCCGAGTGCTTAGGTTGTTTTTCCCGGTTTTTAGTTGGGTTCGCGTTTTGTTTTTCCCGAGTTTAACCCACCAAAGGTTTTAGCAGGCGATGTAAGGACAGCCCGGACCCCATGCGCAATGTGAAGAGTAGCAAGAATTAGCCCGACTATGTGGTTCGATGCATAATATGCATCGAACCAATATCTGTCCATTCCCTGCATCAGGGATGAATATGTTGATTCAGCATTGCCTGGCAAGTATTGTGCAATTCGAACAGGCGGAACGGGCAGTCTCCCTTGATAAAAGCGGAAGTGCTCAGCCATCGCAACGTGTTTGCATTGATAGATTTGGGTGTGCATTTTTTGAGGCTATCCCTTAAAGGGAAACCAACAGGAGAACCACCATTTTCGGGGGTCCCCTAAAAAGAACTGCCAACCAGACGCGGGAAGGAACAACTTCTTGCCAAGGAAAAGCGGCGCATGGGGCATGCGGCGGCGCGGGACATCGACAAGTTCGCTGTGTACTTGCTGGCAGGAGGCCATGTTGGGTTTTAAGTGTCACGCAGCGGCGCCAGTAAGGAGAGATTGTAACGGCATCTTACACAATCAATGAATGCGATTTTCACGAGAATCTTTGTGATGGCATGCTTGCTGCGTCGAGGGCAGAGTATGTTCTGCTTCCAGGGACAAGATGTGCTTGGCTCCCTCACTTTGCTCAAGCTAGGCCGGAGCCCAACCGTGCATTGATCTCATGTTCAACAGGCAACTTCAAAGAAGACGGCACCCACGTTGGGGGTTGACCCTGATTGCGAGGTGCTGCAGAGCCGGAGGTAGAGGCCGGAGAGGACTTGGGCATGCATAACATAGGGGTCTGTCCTGTTGTTGACACAACCCTTTGTGCTTGTGAAGAAACCAACAGGAAAACCGTTGCGCAATTTTGGGGGGTCCAAATCCGAAAACAACCAAAGTTTTGGCCCCCAAGAATTCAGACCTATATTTCTCAGGGTGAAAAGAAGCGCCCCCTTCCATATGGATTTGTGTTTCTGAGTGTTCCCTTAAACCAGGCCGTTCTTAAAAGGGAAGCCAAAAGGTGTGGGCACGAGTCCCATGGAACAAACAGATGTCCACCAAAGATCCAGGCTTCAGAGCTTCGTAGAGGTTAGGGTTATCAAAGTCAGAAATTGGGGTTGTTGCTCTTTGACCTACCACTTGGGGGGGTGACTTTGACAAAATCATGGGTCCCGTCGTAGAGGCAGGAGGGTGGATTCGACCGGCCAGGGCGACGGGGTGCCGATGCTGATCTGCGTGGACGAGCTGCGGCAGAGCGATGGGGCCGCGGCGCCCTGGCCAAGCCTGTGGATGCGTGGGTTAGGATCAAATGGCTGTGGGTCAAAACCAATGGGATCCGGATGTTCACTGGGGGTACGGGATTTTGACCCATGGCCAAATGGTGGTTTCCGTTTGGCTTCCCTAAATAAAACTGCCAAAAAGTGTTTTTGTCCCTTTAAAAATACAAAACAGAGAAATCATCCCCACATGAGTGTGTGTGTGTGTGTGTCTTTTTTCGGATTTGGGCCCCTTTCATGAAAGGGCCCCAGTTTGTGTCAGAGACCCGCCGACCTGAAGGCTTGAGCAGTGCTGATTGGAGAAATCCAGCAGGGTGTCTCTGAAAAGAAAGACGTGCCCATAGGTGTCCTTTTGGGTTGGTTTGGTTCAAGCAAGAGAGGGGTTTCGATTCCTGCTTTACCTGGTGGTTCAATCATCTACGGCCATCTATTTTCCAAAAAGGACACCAAGGGACGTGCCAGTTGCCTGCGCCGCTCAGCACGTGTGTCTCTTCTGACGAGCATAGCCGCGGCGAGGTGCCTTCGGCGCGGGAGGTCTTTCTCCAGGATTTGCCGGTTGAGGAGCGCTGATGCAAGTTGGGTGAAATGCGAACAAACACATTGCCAACACCGGCCAAATGTGGTTATGTGTTTGTTTGTTTGTTTGTTTGTTTGTTTGTTTGGTTGTTTGTTTGTCTGTCTGTCTGTCTGTCTGTTTGCTTGTCTGTTTGTTTGCTTGCTTGCTTGCTTGTTTGTTTTGATTTTCCAGATCACGGCCACATTGCTTGCTTGAAGGGCGGACAGGCTCCGCCTTGCATGTGTTTTGTTTGACGCTCGTGGTTTCATTGGTCGCCATGGCGAGGGAGGTGAAGCCATGGAGTTGTGAACCTCTCAGTGACTCTCTGCCCGCACCTGTGGCTCAAATAGGCGGCCCTTCCGATGGAAAATGTTGCGCTGGCCTTTCGGACCCGCGATGTACTGGAGGTGGTGCTGCATTTTGAGGACAGGGCCAAACCCGTGTCCGCAGTTTGCCAAGTTTTTGATGCTTGCGCGGATTGGGACGTGGGTCCAAATCAAGCCACCAGGACCGCAGGTTTTAGTCCTGGGTTACCCGGTTCCATTGACCAGGGTTTTATTTTGGGAATGTACCCATTTTTTGACCCACAGCCATGTGTGTCAAATGTGTTGCTTGCAGTCACATGAATCCGGAATGAGTTGTTTGGGAGCACAGACGCACTTGGGTAGAAGCGTTGCAAGAATACCAGCAGATTTCGTATGCCCTGCCGATCCGTTGCGTTGCGTCGCCTCAATAACATGATTGGTGTCGCTGATGTTGGGTGGACGATCAAATGGCAATGGGCGCCTATGTTATGAGACGTCGTCCCCCACCCCCATTCACAGGTGGGTGTGTCTTTTTGTGGTCCCCCAAATGGTGGTCTTCCTTTCGGTTTCCCTTCAAAACGACAAAAAGGGAGGCACCCAGCTACCCTCAAAAAAGACACACCCACATCGACCAACGGCTTGACCATGAGACGCTGTGGACGATACGCGTAGGCAAGGTACGTACCTTGAAACGAAGGCGCGGTTGCACATCTCCTTTTGAGCCAATTGAGGCCCAGGCTCAGCCCCCTTGTAGGTGAAAAATAATTCATTGAACAAGAACTGTTTCGTCAATTTCTTCACGGTCACCCATTGGTTGCACTTGGGTCAACGTCTCCAGGTTCCCAGGTTGTGTTGACTCCACCAGCGCCCTGTGACGGAACGTCAGGGCCTGCACTTGAACTTTCTCAGCGACCCCGCGAAAGCGCTGAGTCAGCAGCTGCAAAAGCTGGGCGTTTCGGACCGCGAAATGGGCTGTGGCGGTGTGTCCTTAACCACCAAACCTCCGGGCTCCAAACCACCAATTGCAGGGAAGCTGCAAAGCTTGAGGGAGGCGCTGTTGAGGCACTGGCAAAAGATCCAACCAGGGTCCGAAGCAAAGAGACCCTTGCGAATGTTCCGACCCGACAATCAAGCGAGAGGGACACCCAAGCCGCAAGCCTCAACTCTGAGGTGAGAGGCTGAAAAAGCTGGGGCTGGCTCTTGCTGAGAAGCCGCTCCTGCTAGCGAAGCTTCGAGAGGTGTCTGGGGATGTGAGCAGTTCTGATGGGTGGATGCTTGGCTCAATTGCGTGCGACCCAATGCTTGGCCTGGACTGGCCTGGTCCGAAGATCATGGATCGCAACACGTTTTGCGTAGCAAGGGGAAGGGGGAGAAGCTAGGGTGTATTGTATGTCAGGCTTCAAGAGATGAGCAATTCTTGTTTTGCCGTCGTTTCCAAGCCCGACGGCCGCTTTGATGTTCTTTTATCGATTTGCCCTAGTGACGTGGCAGTCTTGCGATCTTACGGTTCGTCTTGGTTGTCATTTGTCTATATATGGCGCTTTGCATGCTTCAATCCAGGATGCATGGGGAGACCTTGCGCATCCACTTGGCGCAGAAGACTGTGGAGGTCACTTGGCAGCTCAGAATGCCCTGTTTTGGGGAGCGAGATCTCAGGTCAATGTTCAAACCGCCAATGCCCACACTGGGACCGATCCTTTTTGCACCATTCGCCAACCACATTCTTTGCGATGTTTCTCAAAGCCCAAAGTCGGCGCAGCCAGGGTGGGAGCAAGAGACTTCCAAGACTTCTAAGACTTCCAAGGCCCCAGAATCAAGCACAAACAAGTTGTTCACTGTTTCATGGCCTTTCCTTTCTCAGTAGACAGCTGGACGCATGTCAGGGCATACATGACATGGCAGGATGTCCAAGACAAGGACTACAAGTCTTCGGCTGATTGAGATCCTTACATAACCCCATTGATTGTGGAAGGTTTTTCGTGGAGGAGCCCTTGTGCATTGATACGCACCGCTTGCCAGTGTGGCAGGTTGTCACCTAAGATTGGGTTGCCCTGCTTGGACAGTGATGAGAAGGGGACACCAAAAGGCAACCAGCATTACTTTTCTCCCTTGAATCCAACCATCTGGACGCCTCAAATTGCAAATAAACATGGGACACATGTTTTAATGAGTACGTTTAGTGTCTTGATGAAGAAAATGGAAACCAAAGTTTAAAAGGAAAGGGAAGCCAAAAGAAAGCCAAAAGGAAACCAAAAGGAACCCAGAAAAAGGCAACGAACAGGCAATGAAAAGGTAACGAAAGGGCAACCAAAGGCCAGAGGTTTTTTGCCCAGGAGACGAACCCAAGCACTTGGGCTTCCCTACCTTGGGGTTCCCTGCCAGGTGCCTGTGGTGTGGGAGCCCCCGGTGGCGGCGAGCTGCAAGCTTTCGAGCCCCAGCCCGGTGCTGGGAGTGCCGTGGCCGATGTGATATTGGTGCCATCAATCGACCGGTTCTCCGGGAAAAAAAAAAACGGTTTAGATGCGCGTTTCGTGGATTTCACCGGCTCTTCCCCTTGTTGGTCTTCCTTTCTTTGGGATTTTTTTTTAGTACTCTTTGAGTATTCTACAGGGGTGGATCCACAAAGGCCGCACCCAAACCGTATCCTAGAGGTTCCTTTACTTGGGCTTTTGCCAGGGATGGTCATGCTGGTAAGGATCCTAAACCAGAATGATTCCTAAGGGAGCCATGACCATTGCCTCAGCGGAGTTTTGACCATGCTTGGGTCTTAGAACCGTGGGGGGTAATACAAACGCCATTGTTGACATCATCTAAGTTGGGTCAACACTTTCTTATGGGGGTTGAGCCCTATTCTGCGGCTATGAAGTTCAATAAGGACCACCTTCAAAGTAGTTGGCGAAAATGAATTCTCACCTAAATGTTGTCCACCAAAGGCCTAACATGAGGCTCGGTAAGCATTACTGGTAGTATAATTATTTCACTAGCTGGAGGAACTCACAAAGTTTCCCATGTCTTCTGGGGATATCCGGAGCTCCAAGCTTCCAATACACTTCTGGGAAGGGGAGGCCTGAGGCGGTCCCTTTCCATTGTCGAGTGTAGGGTGCTGATACAGATCTGTTGCTTTCAGGGACCTAAGTGATCCTTCAGTTTTTCAGTGTACTTTCGCACGCCTTGTGACTCTCTCTCTTTAGCCTAAAGTGAGGCGGTTCCGCCTGAAGGGCTCGCGGAGAAAAGTGGACCTCCGTGCCGGCCGACCGACCCGGAGATCCCAGGTGCCTGTCAGTGCAGAAGCGGAGTTGCTCCGCTGCACTCGCGCTGAGTGCACCTGGATCTGGGAGAGGGACGAGGGCGGCAGTGGCCGCACCCGGCGCTGGCAGGACGCGAGCCTTGCAGATGGTCAGGTGGCCTCTGCTTGTCTTCCATTTGCTTGAGATGATTTGTTATTTTCCCTTGTTGGTTTTAAAGGGAATCTATCACTACTGGGATTTTTTTTCCAGGTGGTTTGAGGAAATGACAGCTGTAGGTCGAGGCAAGACGGCGCGGATGAGCATTTTCGAGAGCAAGGGGGTTGGCATGCTTTGTGGTGGGTGACACCCAATCAGACCTTCAACCAAGCAGGTCAGATGCGCGATCACACTGGGGATAAGATTGGGAGGGATGGGCTGACGCCAGATTCACAGAATCGCAGGAAGTTGGACGAGGATCCGTGTACGTCCCAGGCACGGAGGATGAGGGAGGCTATTTGCGAGTCAGCTGTGCTCCCCCTTCACCAGTAGCAGCCGCACTGAGTTGCTTGGCGAAAAAGGGGCACCTCAACGCATGGCAGTGGGAACTACACATCTTTTTTGCTGCCTCGGGTAGGTGAGGGACAATCCCAGCCATGAATGGGTGCGGATGTCCGCCTTTTCAATTCTTTATATTCTTGGTAGACCATCTCAATACCGGGTTTTGATTTTGACTCACCTGAAAGGGGCTCGATGGGATGCAACGCGTGCTAAGGTCAAGTGAGCAAGGAGCCGGTCAAAGCGGCCCCAGCTGATGCCTGGCGCTGGCAGGAGTTGTCAGCACCACAAGAGGGGGACATCAGGATGGCAACCTACAATGTCTTGGCAGATGCCTTTGCCACCAGCAGCTTGCTGAAATTCAGCTTGATGCGCTACTCGTTTTTTCGATTCCCACCGCAAACCCCTTGGGTCGCTTGAAGAATGCATTTTGCGGGGCGCTCATTGTTTTTTTTGGGGGGAGGCTGCCTTTCAACCACCATTTCGAGCGTAGGTTTGAGGATGCCGCTTTCATGGACCCACCCCCTACTCCAAATACCCTCTTTTTCAGGGTATCATGTTGACCCTCTACTAAAAAAGGAGGTACATTTGCGATGGAAAACCAGGTTCTCCTCAAAAATCCCCTGAAGAAAACAGGTCTTTAGAGGAGGGGGTAGTTGATTCTTTTTCAGACTTGCCCCCAGCCCGAGGCAAGTCCGCGAGAGCCGGCATGTTCTCCTACTGCGCGCCGGAGGTTTTGGCTCCCGGCCTGCGCCGGCAGCGGATCTTGAGAGATCTGCTGAAGACCCTCGGCTCTTCTCCGAGGGGTCGGGGTTGGGTCGGGAATGGGTGACCGTGCCTTTTAAAGGGGTATTTTTGAAGGATTTTCCCGGGGGGGTGGGGGGGGGGAAATGAAATAGATCCGCACCCGTGTCTTTT